ATACATCCAGTCCCTCCAGAAGTTCCCTAACTAGTTCCTCACTAACCCTTGGCCTAGGTGCACCTCCCCTGGGGCCTGAGGGGGCCCCAGCAGGGGGGTGACTATTCCAGTCCCTGCTTAGGAAAATGGAGGCAAAGAAATCATTAAATATTTTGGCTTTGTCGTCTGGTGTGACGACCAAATTTCCTAACGTGTCCTGAAGGGGCCCCACATTACCCGGAAACTTATTTTTACCCCCTATGTATTTAAAAAAGAACTTCTTATTGTCCTTAATCCGGGAAGCTAGTTCCAGTTCCATCTCTGTCTTGGCCTTCCTGACTGCCCCCCTACATCCCCGAGCAACTACAGTATAGTCATCCCTGGTGATGACCCCTCCTTTCCATTGGGTGTATGCCTCCCTTTTAGCTAGGACACATTCCCGGATGCTTTTGGTGAGCTACAGGGGCTTGTGTGCCCTCCTGCTCCCTTTGATCCGTGTTGGGATTACCTTCCTTTGGGCTTGAAGGATTGTCTCCTTAAGGAGTGACCACTCTCCTTGGACACCTGGCTCCCCTCCCCTCTGGGACCTCAGTGCTTCCCCGACTATTCTCCTTAGCTTCTTAGCTCATTGAAGTCCTCCCTCCTTGCGCTGGACAGTGGATTCCAGCAGGCGACGATTACTGTCACCCAGGTGGTCAAGCACCCGCAGCCCTCTCACCAGGTCATCTCCCGTGGCCAGCACCAGGTCCAGCAAGGTCTCTCCCCTGGTGGGGCTGTGCACCTCCTGGGTTAGACGGAGGTCCTGCATTCTGGCTAAGAACCTACATGAGTGGTCAGATCTGGCTGACTGCTCTTTCCAGCAGATGTCCAGGAAGTTCAGGTCCCCCATGACTACCACACCCTTAGACTTCACTACCTCCATGAGCTGACCTAAGAATTCCTGGTCGAGCTCTTCCCCTTGGTTGGGAGGTCTGTGGTAGACCCCCACTGTTAAGTCTCTTTCCCCTTGACTGCCTTGTATTCTAACCCAAAGCAGTTCAGAGTGCCCTTCTTCTGATTCTTTGTTGTTGCAAAAGGAATGTGTAGGAACAAAAAAAAAATCCCTACACTGCAAATTTGTAGCGCCGGCACAAAATTAGACCCCTGAATATCCAGGGGTCAAACAATACCCCAGGGGGGAAAAAGCAGGGCAACCGGAGGCTTGGTCCTCCACAGAGATGCTCTGCTAGTCAGCCAGAGCATCTCTATGGGCTGGCCCTCACCCTGGTGCTGAAGCACGCTGCCTGCCCATGTGGCCTGGATTACTATTGATACACATTATTTCTCTAGAGTAAGGGCTTGGAAGCAGCAAAAGTGGGGAGAGGCCCCCCAGTTTGCTCCCTGAAAGAATAGGACCATGTGAAAAAAGGCAGCTTCAGAAGCAGTATCAGATGAAGGTCATTCTGAGAACTAGAAACAGGAGAGAGATCTGAAGGTGCTTTTTTTCTTGCTATTATCTAATGAAGGAGGGGAGGAGGCAGTCCAGGGACAGCAAGAGAATGGGAGAGAAGGGTGTAAAGGGAAAGAATGAAATAGATGTGAGGTCAGGAGCAACTTATATTAAATTATAGAATTGTGTTCCCAGAGTAATGGTTGGAAAACCAGTGCTTGATATTTTAAAATCTTGACTAGAAAAAAAATGCTTCCAATGTATTTTAGGTATGAATCCCAAAATGTCTAGTGGATTGAGTAGATGACTCAATAATTCTTTCTGTCTCCAACTGATATGACTTTTTGAGTCTATAGTGAGAGACTTCATTTAAGACCTGAATATCATACAAAACCTCTTGCTTTAATGCTCTTCTAAAACAGCTGTAGTTTGACTTGACAAGCAGAGATAAATTGTTGCCTCAGGATGCTTTTCTCCTTTTGATTGATTGCTGAATGGCTGAAAAATTGATTCTGGCATTTTTCCCCAAGTCACTTGAGTCTTGTGCATTAATCTCTTTGCCTGAATAGCAACAAAGATGTTTTCATACTATGATAATGAATATATATGTATATGTAAACCAAAAATATATGTTATAGCTTAAAGAAACCCAACTCTCTTTCAACAAACTATAATGCTTTTACTATAAAAAATACACAGTCCTATACCATACCTATACCATATGCTGAAAAGACTTCACACAGTTTCAGAATTTTTGGCCAGACTCTAGTCAAGCTATTTTTGTGTTGTGCTGTAAAAAACATGGAGGTGTTATAGTTGCTTCTGATGCTGGGCATTGAAACACCTGGTTGAAGCAAAAAGGGGAGGAAGAGCATTCTGGAGCTAAGCTACCTTAAGCCTGATCGTCTACTGGGTAAGGGATCTTACAAAAACAATATGTTAGCAATACAAATTAAACACAACTACCCTACCCACTGTATATGGAAGCTGAATATTTGTGAATCAGCTCCTTGCAACTGCCCTTTCCTTTGTGTTTTAGTACAGCTCAGTTCAGTGAAGAATCAGTCTTTTCAGTGTGTGTTCACTGACTCCCAAGAAAAACGAAGGTTTTGTGAACAGATACTGAGATTTTAACAGGTAAAGGATTTAAGGGTATCCCACTAAAATCAGTGAGAGCCTTCCACCCATATTCTCTACGTAGATTTGAAGCTCACAGCAAAAAAACTTTCCACAAGTGCCTTTTCTTTTATCTCATACCAAATGTTTTCTACATTCACTTCATTAGTTGTTGCACCAGAAAATCTCTCTCTTTTCAATCTTTGTGCTATGTGATGAAGACTATAATAAGGATGCAAGTAGGGATGGATTTGATGTTTCCATATTAATATTTCATTGCAGAATGTAAGGTTATCTTTCTCCCAGCAAGGTCTAAGTTTAAAAGGAATGGTTCCATGATCAGTAGCTTTAAAATGTACCTCCTCACAAAGGGCATAGTTTTTCTGCCTTTCATTTCTTGTGCAATTGTAGGTCCTCAAATGGTGACAGTAACTTGTTGCAATGTCAAAAATCAAAATTTCATATATCTTTTCCCCTATCCTAATGTAACTGGCATGTTGTTTCAGTTAATTTTGTGTCACAATGTATTAATTTCTCCCACAGGAACATATGCTCTCACTGTTCCTTAAAATTATCGTTTTGGTGCTGTGTCATAGGTATGATTCTTGCCTATACAAAAGGCTTTGTTTTTAACCACACAATTTGCTAATATAGTCAAAGGGCTACTATGAGAACATCCCATTGTTACTGAAACTTTTTAATGTTTTAATAAAATATATTAGAAAACATATAAAAGCAGACATTTTGAAACTCCTGGCTAGGACTTAGACACACAAATATGAGGAAATAGAAAACCTGATACAAAAAAAGACCTAATCCTCTCCACCTCCTCTTTGGTTCCCATAGATCTGATTTTAGAGGTGACCTTTTCCTTTAAAACAATCATCAAAAACATATTACTTGGAGACATGTTTAGGACCCTTGCCAATGAGTTTCCCCCCTGCTTCGTGTGCACATACCCCAGTCTGAAGAACAGCCAGTTTCCAAAGGGGCCAGATTATGGGATGTGTGTAACTGTGATTACAGCAGGACAGGAGAGTTTGGAGAGTTTGGATGGATGCCCCACCCCAACTACTGCAATAACAACTTTGCATATGGAATCAAAAATCATAATACTCCTGCAAATTTGGAGACTTTTTTGATGGTCATAGCCCATGGCACCTCTCTGTTTTTATAGCAGACTTGCCAAAAATTAAAAGATCTTTATATGCAGTATCAAAATTTTCCCCACTGGTGAACCAGTGTTATGGGTGCTGGGAAAGGAAAATAGAAGCAAATTGTGGCCAGTTCCTAAAATGTGCTGACATAGATTCACAGTTTCATGAAGCAGAATTGTGATTTTCCCCCCCCGTTATCAATTGTTGCAGCCTCAATTCAGTCATTATTGCAATGTGCCTACCATCCTGTCAAAGCATATCAAAATATAGAAATACTTAATTTTTATTTTTCATTGTCCATTTATTTGTTACACAACTTCAACATCATTTATTGGAATTCCATGGAGTCCTGTTCAACAGCATTATTAATTGATAACAAAATTGGTTATGATACCCAATTCAATAAGTTAAAAACTGATTCATGTTTAATCAGGTAGTTATATTTTCACTGAAAGCAGTTCTTCCTACACCATTGGTGTTTATATTTTCTTTTTTTAGATTGAAGAGGATACATGGCAGAAATACTATTTGGAAGGAGTCTCAAATGAAATGTATACAGAATATCTATCTAGTGCCTTTGTGGGTCTGTCCTTCCCTGCAGTTTGTGAGTAAGTAGATATATCTCTGTGTGTGTGTGTGTGTGTGTGTGTGTGTGTGTGTGTGTGTGTAAATAAACTGACATATAATCCTTGCCTCCTTTCAAGTGAAATCAAAGTTTTTCATAGAAGGCATCTCTGCTCTGCTGCCATTCCAGTATCATTGCTTCATCAGATGGGATCCAGTAAAATAAACATTAAAGCAATCACGGCATGGAAGTATTCCAAACATTTTAATGTCTGTTTTCCGAAGAGACTTGGAACTAAGTGAATATATATGAAAGACTACATGCTAGGAGTGCTGAAAAAATGAATCAGCAATCCATTTAAAGAGAGTTATTTACTCATAACTGATGTCCTATTGTTTCTTCTAATGGTTCCCATTCTTTGCATGGTGTCTGTCAATGTCACCCCTTGGCTCCTACCCCATAGCAAGGAAATTATTCGTTTATCTAAGCAGATGTAATGAAGTCATATATAGTGTAGGCAGATTGGTGTACAGCACTTTATGGAATTACTTGCAAAACACTTTGAACAAAAAAAACTTCTGCCAAAGAAAATATGTCCAGTTCCTTATGAGAGGGTGATATGAGTGACATTATATGTATAGCCATAATTTAATGCTTTATACAGTCTTTTTATTAGGGGCTGAATAACCTTTTATTTGTCTGAGAAGTGCATGTGCACAATGCTGTAATGATAGCCATCCCTACCCCCAAACATTTTCATGATAGTTTAATCCCTCAAATATCTACATCTTCTATAGTTGTTTTTAGTTTTTGCTATAGTCATGTCAAGAGGCTCAAGCTGATCTTGAAACCCCGCTGTTTCAGGTACTACACAAATGCACAATAAGGAGTATTCCCAGCCCTTGTATTATAAGTAGCTAAGACTACTTAAAGACAGTCAAAGGTGAAATGACTTGCCAAAGATCATGTTACAGCTCAGCGTGAAAGCTCTGAGTACATATTCAGGGATTCTGCCCCCCCGCCCAATGTCTTATCCATTACACAATGATGCTTCTTAGGCCTAAATCTCTTATTGACTCTGTTTTGAGGCTCTTTCAGCTTCCTACTGTGGGCTAATATCACCATACGTAAGACAAAATAAAGAAGTGGGAAAGAAAGAATAATAAACAGCAAAGTTGCTTCTAAACTAGTGTTTTTGATCTTCTCTGTTTAAACAAATCTAAACTACAAGTGGGGACTACTCTGTTTAAGAAAGAAGTCCTAACATATCCTTAGCTGGCAACACCTTAACTGGCCTTGCTTCTTAAAAGGAAAAACTGCTCTGTACACTGCTCAGCAAAAAAAGTCTAAGAAGTGCTTTACAATTCTCTAAACCACTGAATCATGCCTCGCCCACATTAAGCCAGTTCATGAAAAATCTCCCAGCAAAACCTGTTATCAAACACAGCCACATTTCCATATGGTGCCTAGAAAAATGTGATTGAGAATGTATTTAACATAAAGCTATCATTCATTTAACATGCTGATACAGCTGAGCTAGAATAATCAATAAAGAAGGACATTTAATGAGATTTAGGAACATCCCAAAACATTGGAGCTCTCCTCAAGCATTTGATTATCTGGAGGCTTAATTATCTGTGTTTTCTAGTTTAAATTAAAGAAAATGCTATAACTCAAACTTACCAGCAGTTTAATGATAACACTATTCAGTTCAGGTTAATTAAAGCACAGTGGTAATTAGAGTGTAGTGTTGTATATCATTGAGCTTGGCGCATAAGTATTTTCATTACAGTAAGAATTGACTATTCAATTTTAAGAAGACACAAAGGACACAAAATGTGCTTTAAACTAGTTTGTGAAGAGGAAGAAAGATTAATGGAAACTCTGGGTGTAATCAACTATCTGTAGATTTACAGACTTTTAGAGCAATTTCTCTAATCACGTATGGAGCTAAAACTACATGCAGCAAATATTGCTGTAACTAGAGGTCATGTGCTCTTCTTGCAGGCTGTTGGTCTTGATTACTAGCTTGGCAGCTTTTAGACAAGCCAAGAAAATGATTCTGTATACCATTTAGTTCAGACAACTGGCAAGAGAAAGGTGTAGAAAGAGCATTAAGTTCTATGGAGACTAGGAGTGCACCAATAGAGATTTTGGGGGCTGATACCAATGGCCAGTATTTAAGGAGGCATATTGGCTGATACCAATCCGATTTCCGATACAGTTGTGTGCAGCTGGTAAGTCTGTTGTGGTGGAAGGGGAGGGAGGAGGGAAGGGGCATGGAGGGGGGCAGATCAATGGCCCCTGTGGTGAGGGAGGGAGGGGGCAGGCACTGCCCAGGTGGGATGGGTGCTGGATGGAATCATGGCTTGTTGGGGGGGTGGCTCCCATCACTGTACACAACCCAGGACGGTATGGCTTGGGGGTGGGGCGTGTACTCCCAGATCTGCGCAGGGTGGGGCGGGGCAGGGCAGGGTAGGTGGGCTGCAGCTGCAGGCTGGAGCCAGGGCTGCACCAGGCTCTTCTCTGCAGGGGCTGGGCTTGGGGCAGGCAGTCATGGCACTGGGAGGGGGGCTATGGAGGAGGCTGTAGCCACCCCAAATGTTGCTGTAGCTCTGCTCCCAGCAGCGCCCTGCCCGCCCACTGCACGCTGCTGGGCTCAGCTTCTTGCAGCCTACATGCTGCACGCATGCATGGGCATTTATCTGCCAAATTATTGGACACTTCAGGCCTATTTCCGATACAGCCAATTTTCTTTATATCGGTACCAATCCGATATTGGACCGATGTACTGGTGCACCTCTAACAGAGACAGGAGACTAAACATCTTAGAAGCATTACCAGACTTTTTCCTTGATATGAAATGTGACCATGCAAGTGTTCAATTGAACCAGTAAAAGTTTAGCAGCTTAGTTTGAGTAGTTGGAAGGCCTACATTGTACAAGTGTTCAGGGGCTAGCTGTGTTTTCTGCAGATAGCTTGCATTGCAGAGAGCATCCAGGAAGGGAGTCCCAATGTACTTTGCTGGTTCTTTAGTCTGTCTTGAAACAGATGGCACTACCTGAGGGCACAGATCCAAGGTCACCATGTCTTTCTCACAGCATCCTTCCCACCCTCTTGGCTGTCAGACAGTAGATTCAGAGCGTGAGGGGGAGCTTTGCCTGTGGTGCTCCTAGATGTAGTTGCAATATGGATGCAGCAGCAACAGGAAGACAGAGATGTGTATTTACCTAGTAGGTGGTCTGTATGAGAGATCTGGCTTGCTCTAAACAGCAACCCTTAAGGAACTGCAGTTCAGGCAGGTGAGAAGGTCAGTGAGTCTCCTCTTGCTCTTTGTCTATTAGATACCCTTATGGAAAATAGCCTAGATACATGCACTATACTTTGCACTGCTTTTATTCCTCCTCCTTTAAGTCTGAGGGAAGTTTCATATGCCCATAAGCAAAATTCCTATGCTGTGAAAGTAGCTGTTCCTTGTGGTCCAGAGAATCTAAAATATAATTTTAACAAAATTAGGGTCCTGGCCATAGTGCAGGGCTTTGCCCATGGTGTTTATGGAGTTGCATGCCAACCACCATTGTTGGAGCTAGGACATTAGTTCCACCAGACCTCATCCTTTGTATTCCCAGAGCATTGACAGGACCCCACCAGGAACAGAACCCCCTGACACAGACTAACCATACAGGCCATTCCAGGTGGGGTAGGTTGGGGACCTCTGGGAAAAGTAAAGGCTGGGCAAAGGGACCAGTCCATGTTGGTGGGAGATCTGGCTGAAGAAATGGCATGGTGTTTGGGGTCTGTGTGAGGTCATGGGCCCTGGACAGCAGAGTGGAGTTTGAGGTCTGCAGGGCAGTCAGGGGGCTCAGGGAATGACATGGTGTCTGGGACCTGTGGAATTCAGATCAGGGTGGGTGCTGTTGGGTCATTTCCCCCATCTGCACAGCTCTGGGACTGTAGAGAGGGCTGGACTTTCCCAACTCCTGGGCTGACAGGAAGGGGGTTTGTCTGTGCTTCAGCCAGAGCAGTGGAGTCTGGCACATCACAGACTGTTTCCCTGAACTAGGGGGGAGGGCAGAGTGCATGCTATGATGTCACAGGACAGCATGGAAGCGTCTATCAATAGGGTAAGTGTACAAGCATTTATTTCTCCTGTAGAGTTTCTACCAGGGGAAATTTGCACCACTTTGGATGCGGCAGAAGTTTCTACTGCACCACCCACCAGTTTTTGTCTGGTAAAAAATGTTTGAGCACACATGTATACTTTCTACCAGTGGACCACAATTCCTCTAATAGAAATCCTTGTACACACCCTTAGAGGCAGTTACTATAGTGCAGGGAAAAAAGTTTGCCTGCTAAAAGAGAGGGGCAAGATTTTAGGCAGATATTGCCACGTCACTATTATTCAGTCTAAGTAAGGACACGCAACACTGGGAAGATGCTGAGATTCAGAGGTGTAGGACATTTTTTCTTTTTTTTTTATTAAGGCTTTAATTTATCTCTTCGTTGGTTTTCTCAAATCCTAATTGCATACTGTTTGTGCTGCAGTTCTTGTTTGTCATGGTGATTCTCACAGTTCTTACTTTCATTACTAGGTTGAGGTGTTGAGAATATACACAGTAGTTACCATTAAAAAGACAAAATGTATCTATGGAATCTGTGTCTCCTTAGTGTACAAAATGACTACAGTGTCTAATACTGTGAAGGAGCAATCATTGTCTAATACCAAGTTGTTAAAGACAATCTGCATAGCTACCTACTTGGCAGTACTTTACCTGTTGCTTGTTCAGCATCAGTGGCCATTTCTACATGAGACACTTGTATAAACAAGTACTAAATGACTGCATAGTAACCCAAGTTACTGTGCAGTAGTGCCAACGAACATCTTTTTTGTGATGCTGCTGCGCAATAGCATCGCATTGCAATTGTTGCCATGTGGTGCAACTGCACAGTAGTATCGAGCTACTGCACAGTCAGCATCTCGTGTAGACATGGCCAGTATTACTTTTGTTTCTGCATCACCAGCTTGGCTACTATGTGATGAAT